ATTCGTGTATTATTTCGTTTATTTTGTTTGTTGTTTGTGTTATTTTATATCGTTTAAGTTTTCATTGCCGTTTTTGTGTTTGTTATATATCGTTTTTTTGTGTTTCCTATATTTAAAATGCCGAAGCATTTAAATAGTCGGAGTCAAGAGTTTGCGTCATCCTTAATACGCTATTTTGAGGCAGAACGGGATAATAATGGACCTTTGTTACCTTTAACAGCTGTTAGAGAGGTAAATAGGATTATTATTAATTATATATTAGAATATTTAACAAAATATATGTTGGATACATAAAATAATAATATATATACCAAAGACTGACTTTAGATGGCAAAATTTTTGGGTTTTATATCAGAAAATGTCTTTAAAAATGGCTAAAAACATACTTTTGGCGGTGCATCATATAGGTTATAAAAACTCAGACTTTTGACATTTTAGTATTATTCATGTAAACGCCATCTATCGCCCTGTAGTTGCACTACCACTTTCCTCTGATGCAAGGATTTTAGCATCACATTGACAACCGTGCCCGATCAGCTGATTGATGACGTGTACGTAGTTTACTTTTAAATTTACTATATCTTACTTATAACGAGGTATCATATTATAGTCACGGCCAAATCTGTATGGGTGCACGTCATCAACGGCATATGACGTCAGCGTTAAGGTCTATTCATACGTGCCCAGACACAATCTAACGCTCGTGTATTGTTGACTGTTTATAGCGGTCGGGGCTGTTATTAAGATGGAATTATAACGTCCTTGTTATAATCTTCTGCACTAACTAATTAAAAGAGGAAACAAACGGAGTTTATTACATTTTTATTACATATGCACATAACAAAAAAATACTAAATTATCAGAAACACAAAAATAATAAATTACCAGTCGTCCTTGTCATCAGAGCAAACCAGGTCAGAATTGAAGTCTGATTATTTCCCCAAATTTATTATTAAGGGCGCAATCTCTTTGAAATCTAATAACGGCTAGTTGCCAACAAGCCTTATATCATTGTTTGCACAATCCAGGGATAGAATCTTATAAACATAATGTATAATATTATTTATAATAATTTGCAACAAACGATGCTTTCGGACGAAATGTCACAATTACAAAAATACGTCAAATATAAAATGACAGCGACCCATCAATAATATTGAACGGTGCGCGCCAGCCTTAAGCTATTACCAACTGGCACACACAAAAATTACTAAGTGAATGATTTTATTTTGATAATTTCGTGAAAAAACGTTTTAAAACAAAGAAATTGTTACAGTTCTTGATAAACAATACGCAAATGAATGATTTCTTTTTAATAACACATCAGAATTACGCCTTAAAAAAGCAAATTTAACGGCAGTAACTTTACAATTCAAAGTTGGTAATGCTGACGTCATTATATCTCATTGATGACGTGCACCCATATAGATTTGGCCGTGACTATACTGTTTGATATTTTAGAGTCCAAGATATATCTAAAAGAATATAAAGAACTAGGCATTATACTAATGAAATGCATTTACGACAAAATATGATTATAATTATAGGTATTTACTTTATTTGTTTAAAAGATCCAATGTTCAATGTAACCAACCATTCCACAAGATTCCTCTGCTTTGGAGTCCGTTATTAATAAATCACTTATCTAATATCAATTACTTACAAATAACATAACAATAACATTGATTTTCAATAATCTAAATTTAAAAAAAACAACCCGAAAAAAAGAAACGTCAAAAAATCAATTCTTCTTCTTCTTCTCAACTAAAATTTTAGATCAAGTAGTTTTAAAACTAAAATATTATAACGTGGCGCCATCTATCGTGAGAATCTTAAACTAAACACCATAGAAAAAGCTGGCAACGTTGTCAATAGCCTAGTGACGTAATTAGGAGACTTTTTTTTGTAAATATCTCGAAAACGGTAAACTTAATTGAAATTCCGATTTCACAAAGATGTTTAAAATTACAAAACGCCTTGAATAAAACCATAAAAAGTATAGGTCAGAAAAAATTTAACTACCCCATTGGTTTGAATGATTTGTTTTTATTTAAATTCAAAATATGACATCCATTTTAATATTTTTATTAGTAAATATACAGTCGACAAATATTTTACAATTTTTTAATCAATAAAATAAATGAATTAATTAATTAATACAGAATATTTTTATTAGCTATCGCAAGACTTTTCTTTATACACAAAAACAAATATTTTTTTTTGTTCTAAGCGTTTTTTAAATATTATTTATTAAATTTTATAAAATGAGTCTTGTAAATAAATGCTTTAATCCATTAATAATGTTATAATTTATATATTTTTTAAGGACCAAAAAGAAATTAAAATAAGGGGAAAAAATGATAAGTTATTTGACTCATTTGATGATGTGTCCAGTAATGAATCAGTAAGTATACTTATCTGTAGATGTAATTTCATATATGTGATACATAATAAAATATTATACAGTATTATACTCATGTCATGTGTATGCATTAATTAGTATTATTGATGTTATAATTCATATTTTTTTTAAGGTTAAAGAGGACATTAAATCCTCTGAGGTTGATTCGGAATAAACTTTACAACATAACACTTTGTGTTTTATTTCAGTACTATTGTACCTCAAGTTTAATTATACAAAGTTTATACAAAAGTGCTCTTTTAGTTCCACCCTTACTTCTTAAGAAGTCCCATAAACCAACTCAATGGCTTGTGCCGGTTAGGGGTAGGAACGGACCGCGGGTTTAAAGTCCCCTTCGAAAGACTAATACACAATAGGACAAACACAAATAAACAGCCATACCCCTGGTGGGATTCGAACCCACGACCTCCGGCTTGTAGTCAGCAGCACTAACCACTAGACCACCGTCCAATTGGACATAAATCACATCTTTATTTAACATTTTTCATTTGACTTTATTTACAAATATAACAAATTCTGTTATTTTATAAATAACACGTTTTATTTTGTGTTCCAATTTAAAATTAAGTGCAAAAAAAATTGAGTATACGCACGAAATTCACCTTAAATACGCACGCGAAGATGCGTCCTCCCCTTGAATTCACCGTAAATGCACAAGTGAAGCTCGAAGTGAGTGCGCATGCATGCTAAAATTCGTGCGAAAAAATTGAAATTATGGTGAATGCACATTTTTGTTCAGAAAACTTATTTTATTCTATAGGGGAAAATATGTTTTCTGAACATGCACCCTTATTTCATTTTTTTCGCGCGAATTTAGAACACGCATGCATTTACGGTGAATTTAAGGGACGGACGCATCTTCACGTGTGCATTCACGGTGAATTCAGGTGTGCATTTAAGGGGCGGACGCATCTTCACGTGTGCATTCACGGTGAATTCCAGGGGCGGACGCATCTTTTAGCAACCGTGAATTCACGCGTGAAGCAATATTTTTCACCGTGCATTCACGGTGAACTCACGAATGTTATCTGGGTATGATCTAGCTAAAGATTTTAACTTAACTATGCCTAAGTGATTACTGTGCAAATCTTGTAAAATTTTTAATCTAAATTTTTGAGGAATAACTACCCTGTAACCCCACATTAAACAACCATTTTCGACTGAAAGTTAACTTTTTATTTTATAAAAAGCTAAAATTTATGTAGTATTTTGTTGGCTTTGCCAACCTTGCAAAACAAACTTAACGACTTTACTTAAAATTAAATCTTTCCTCGATTCAACTTTGATTTTATTTACATCTAAATGAATATATGTTTGTTCAGAAATTAAATTTATGTATGAACTATTACTTATATTTTTTTCAATCATATTTTTATTATTATTATTTTCTATTAACCTAGATAAAGCATCGGCCATATTTTCCTCAGATTTGATATAACTTATATCAAAATCATAATTAGACAAAAATTGAGCCCATCTCTGTAATCGACTTGCAGCCATTACAGGAATGCCTTTCTTTGGCCCAAAAATTGATACCAAAGGCTTATTATCGGAATGTAATACAAATTTTCGACCGTATAGATATTGATTAAATTTTTTATGCCGTATACAATAGCTAATGCCTCTTTGTCTAACTAAGAATAATTTTTTTCGTGGCTAGTTAACATTTTTGATGCATAAGCTATTGGTTTTTCACTTTTATCTGGAAAAATATGCAAAATTATTGCCCCCAAAGATAATAATATTTTCTTTAATTTGTTAAATGCATCCTGACATTTTTAATCAAATTTAAAGTTTATATTTTTCTTTAATATTTATACATTGGATACATAAGTGTGGAACCGTTGGGAATAAATCTGCAATAAAAATTTGCCATACCCAAAAAAGATTTTAGTTCGGTGACATTTTCGGGGAATGGAACATTTTTTATTGCCAACGTTCTCTCGTCACTAGTGTTGTCAATTATGTGACCTAAATAAGTTAGTGACTTTTGTAAAAATTTGCATTTTTCTGTTTTAAATCTTAACCCACATTCTTGGAGTTTTTTAAAAACTAATTCTACGCGTTCTAAGTGTTCATTTTCATTTTCACCGGTTATTAAAATGTCATCTGGAAAACAAACTACTCCGGGGATGTTTATTAATGTCTGTTCCATAATTTTTTGAAAAATTGCTGGAGCCGTGGTTATTCCAAAAGGTAAACGTGTATATGAAAATAAACCCTTGTGTGTGGATATTGTAACAATTCTTTTTGATTCATCATCAATTAAAACTTGTTGATACGCGTCCGATAAATCAATTTTAGAAAAGGTTTTACCGTTTTTTAGAAAATAAATATTCAATACGTGGTAATGGGTAAGAAACCTTTTCCAAACACGGATTTACGGTTATTTTAAAATCCCCACATATTCTAACAGAACCATTTGGTTTTAATACGGGAACAATCTCCAATGTTTTCTTTTTCTCCTTCAGCACGGCTTCTTTACTAAGAGCTAATTTAAACATGTGCTCCCACGTGGCTTTATCGGAGGTTGCATTTTCCTCCATAAGTCTATCCATTATGGGACCAGACCCAATACCAGCAACAAAGATATCTCGTGACACTATCTTGAATTCGTCCCCAAATTTGCACCCAGACGCTAAACTACGAACCCTAGCAGCCCAATCGGCCACGTTTTCTTCATCTCCTCTCTTAGCTCCATAAAACTTCAATCTAGCCGTAAAGTAGGACTCTACGGGAGTACAATGCTTGGATAAACTTTCCATTAATTTTTCTGAAGTCATTTTTTCTGGAGCATCGGGAACACACAAATTCCTTAATAAAATGTAGGTATCGTCAGTCATGAAATTCAGCAATATGGCTCGTTTCCTCTGATCCTCTTTAATACCATTCGTGAGGAAAAACTGTTCAATTTTCACTTTAAAAACCGAAAAATGAGATGATTGATGGTTAAACTCCTTGATTGAACCAATTAAATTATTTTCCGTCGCCATTGTAATATCTTTACTAGATTATTTACTAATTAAAACTCAGTGTACTTGGTGATGGTTTATTACCGACTGACTTGCGTTGTGTCGACCGTTACAATGTAATAAAAAATATGTACAAAAAATACTTGCTTAATTTAAACAATAATAAGTATAACAATATATTACAATGGGAATGCAATTTTTCTTTATTGTTGGTGGGAGTGCCACAAGTGGGAGTGCCACAAGTGGGAGCGCCACTAATTATTATTAAACTATTGTTGGTGGGAATGTCACCGTTGCAGTAAACATAAGTGGTAGCGCCACTATTCTCTCTTTTATTATTAACATTTAGGTGGTACTGCCACCTTATTTTTAGGCAAAGTGGTAGTGACACTATCCTTTCTTTTAAGAACTAGCAATGGAAAATAAAATAACCATTACATACAATTTATTTCTTTGGCCAAGGTCTAAGTTGTTCATGGGCAGCTACTTTATTGCGCCGTCCTTGCTTATACAGCACATATCTTTCATTTGGTAGTACGTTCCGAATGGTGTCCCCTGTACTTGGGCTCCAATTTTCCTCCGCCAGCCAGCTGAGAGTCCTCAACGGCCACAAGGTCTCCCACAGTAAACAAACTGGTGCGATAGCGAGTCGCGTTAAATTGCTGCGCCCGCTTAATAAAGCTATTTAATATTCTTTCCCGGGCTACTGCGACGGCCTTCTCAGGGTCAACAAAATTGTCGTTCAACGGTCCATCATCCAAAAATTGCAGAGTTGCTTCTAATCGAGTATTTGTACCAAGATGCAATACTGACGGGGCGCAGCCAGTTACGGAGTGAATTGTGGAATTTAAATTACTTTCTATTGCTGACAAAGTAGTTGTCCATGATTTTTCTGTTTCGGCGGTAAGAGTGGTAGGTTACAAATTAAATATTGTACGCATGACCCGCTCAACTTGACCATTTTCACGGGGCACTCCAGTTGCTATGTGATGCAGCTCTACATTTTGTTCACAAAGTAAATTTCGAAACATAAATGAAGTAAATGCCCCTGCTCTATCAGATATAATTCGTTTAGGTTTGCCTAACTCTTTGAACACTGATACAAGCGCACGAATGGAGTCTTCAGTTGTTTTCTTTGTAATTGGCTGTAGTCGGCAATATTTTGAAAGTGCAACCATTAGATTTAACAAGCGGCCCTGCATGGTCGATATGCCACGTATGCAGAAAATCATCTGGTTTTTCGCCATGTTGCCACAATCCAGATCGACGACCAGTGTGAGATTTTACTAATACACAGGCTCTACAATTTCTAATGTATTTTTAAGCATTTTCGGCCAATATAAATCTTCTCTTATTTATGCAATACATCTATCCCAACTAATATGTGAATATTCGTCATGATACAGCCACATCGTTAAGAGACGTGCCGCAATGGGAACAAAACACTTTTCAGACTTTTCTTTTTTTATAACCACATTGTTTTTCACTGTAAAATTTGGGTTAATATCCGGATTTCTAAAGATTTCTTGACAAAATGCATCGTTTTTTTGATGCTCACGTAATGTCTTTACGTCAGAAACTTTATTTACATTTAAAGTTTTTAAAGCACATATTTTTAAACTACAATCATTGTCCAAAGATTTATTCTTAAATATTCCACATGACACATTTTTGTGCCAGGTCTATACTCAATTGTAAAATCATAGTCTTGTAATATTACCCACCAGCGCGCTACACGGGGATGCAAATCTTTCTTTAAAGCAGTCGCTCGTACTGAATTACAATCAGTATACACAACGAAATGTCGTCCGTACAAATACACTCGGAAATGTTCAACCGCTTCCAAGTGCCTCTAAATCATAGGAATGATATCGGGATTCACAATCGGTAGTACGAGGGCTGAAATAGGCTACCGGTTAAGCAACATCATTTTCTTTTTGAAAAACCACAGCACCAAGACTTATAGAACTTGCGTCTGTATGCAGTTCACAATTTAAATCCGGGTTGAACATTCGTAGCACTGGCACATCAGTTAGTTTACTTATAATTAATTGACTAATATTTTCACATTCAGTAGTCCAATTTAAAATACAATATTTACGTAGCAATCCCGTTGTGGGTGCAAAACTGCGAAAATCCCTTAATAAACCTACGGAAATAACCGGCAAGTCCCTTTACATCTAAAGGAGAAGGAGCTTATTTTTAAGCATCAACCTTTCGCGAACTGGGGCGAATTGTCCCTTCACTCAACACAACACCAAGATATTCTGTTTCTAATTTAAACAATGCACCTCGTAGTTTAAAGAAAAACCATGAGTTGCTAAAACTTTCAACACTTCCATAGGGAATTAACTATATCTTCAATTACAGGTAAAGGCTTCGGTAATCTACACATAGTCTAAGTTCATTGTTCTTTTTCTTAACAAATACAATAGGACTGGCATATTCTGATTTACTTTTTAGAATAACTCCATTAGGTACTTAAAAGTTCATCAACAATTTTTTTCGCCTCAATCCTTTCTTGGTACGCTAATCGCCTAGGTCGGAACGCCATTAATAAATGTTCTAATTTTAATTTTAAACTATCATCTAAATTGCTTTGGTTTATTTTAAAGTCGTTAGCACTTTTAAAAACAAACACTTTTGGTATGTTGAGGAGGTTGTAATGTAGCTGAAGTCCATGTTTGGCTTTTTCGATACGCAAGCAAGTTACATTCCAACCTACAATAACATCAATATTGCCCGGTATTACGTTATCAGGAACAACTGCGAAACTTATTTCTAAAGTAATAGCTGGTAAAATAATAATTTAATAGTAAATACCAATACTATAAACAATTTGGGTCCCGATTCCCGAAAAAGCACGTAAATTTCCTTCCTGTTTGATCGTCCCACACAATGTTTTTATAACCGATTGCTTAATGATCGACATGTCGGCACCACTATTAATAATGTACGTAAACGACTTGATTACTGCACAATAAGGTAGCTATGGGTGTTAAATCCAAATGAAGTCATTTTTTTATGACAAAAGTTTTTTTAGGCTTACCATGCTTAAGCCAACAATTAATATCAGTGTGTCCAATTCTTTTACAAAAATCACACGTAACAACTTTGTTAGGAGTTGATGTACTATGAGAGGTTGATTCGCTGGTTTTTCATCTTTCTGGGCCAATCTGCACTTAGCCTGATGGTGTCCAAGCCGACCACATTTAAAGCATTTTGAAATCGAAGCGACCTTCGGATCGTGTCTTTATTTTGACTTGCGTTCGATTCCTCGGGTTTCGGTATACTTTTTAGTTAATCTTGCACGGCGGGCATCAAACTTGCTAAGTATACTTATAAGACCAATAATTCACGTTCAGACGCTGGTGTTTGTGCTCGGATTGCAGAACGGGCTTCAATATGTTCTAAACCAAATTCTACCATGCTTAGAATTATATCCCATGGCAACTGACTATAAAAACGATTTATTGATCTTAATTTTTATTCCCATAATCAGACAAAGAATTACAATCTCTACTGTTAAGATTTGCAGTAATGTGTGCACGTGTTCTAGGTGTTTCACGATCGGAAAATGCAACAGTAATATCGTTGCAAAAATTATCCCATGTTCTAGCAAGGGGTCTCCAGTCACGATAATAACGATATCCTCGATGACGCAATGCATTCCCAGCTTTGCTTATCATCAACATTTCGCTGACGTTGAGTTCTTTTTATAATTTTGAACAATCTTCAAGCCATTCGTTGATTGGGTATGTACTTTTGTCAGGGTCATAGGTCGTGATCTCAAAGGAACGGACTTGCGCACTCCAAGTCTCTATTCCTGAATCATTAGGAGTTGGCTGCGATGGTCACGTCACGTTCTTTGTTTGATTTTCTAATTGAGCAATTTGTTATTGTTGGGCTGCTACTAAGCTGATAAGAGTTTCCTGCCACAGAGCCCTGGGACGTAGAGGCATATAGAAACAGGGGAAGTACCGCTAACATATACAGCCTGTTTAGAATAAAACCGAATATATCTATATATATATGGGGCGTGGCCTCGCCTCCCTCCAAGGCGCGTCACAGTTGCTTACGTAATAAACGACATGACGAAAGGTCGAGCAGGTAAGGACTTAAAAAATTAAATGATAATAATGCAAAAAATCTCATTAACGATGCAGTCTATTTGCTTAGCTACTGTGTCGCGCGTTGGAGGGAGGCGAGGCCACGCCCCATATATATATAGATATATTCGGTTTTAGTATGGAAGAGCTGTATAAGTCCTGATTAGGAATGATTTTTTTTTCAAAATAATACCTAAAATTTTAGAGATTGTTAAATATCTTTTAAATATTTAACTTTAAATATAGGGAATAGTTACATAAATCGAAAGGTTTTTTAACAATTTGATTATGTAAAACATTTTAAATAAAAAAGTTATTAAATTTTCACATTAGCCTAATTTGTCCTGGATTTTCTCTGGTAATTTATTGAAAAAAATTGACAAGAAATATTTTAAACAGTGTTTTAAGATTCCAAAAATTTCACCCCTAAATTTGCAAACCTAATAACAAAAAAGTTATAGGCTATCTTTAATGGATACGCATTTTAACCACAAAAAAATAATAACTCGAAAACTATTCACTTTAGGTATAGTTATGTGGAATTTTAAAATGTAAAAATATATGGAGTGTTCTATTTGAAGTAACAAAGTCAAAACGCCAGTTTCATTAGGTAGCATCACCGATTTTTAATATAAAGTAGCGTCGTTGACCTAGCATTTATAGGAATTCAGATTAAATTTAATTATGCCAGAAATCAATGTTTTAATAAAAAACAACAATTTAATTTAACAAAACAAACGTAGATTTTTTATTTTTATACTATGGACTCTACAGGGTGTTTTACATTCGTGGTCCATTAGAAGTTTCTGGGGACCAAAAAAGTTATCAATTTGAAATTTTAAAGTAATTTTAAGTATATTTTTCTAAAATGTTTTAAACAAAATGCCACTTCCGATTTAACCGTCAGTATCC